CTCCTAGCGACCGTTTGGCACGTAATTTGTCACCGCGAAAGTTCATAATGGAGGTAATCTGTGAACGCCATGGTTTGGACGTGCCACGTAACGAGCGTCATATACAACAACCGAAAGACCCCCAACCACGGTAGAAAAAAACTTCTGAGGCCGTTTATCGGATCTGGCACAGTTACGAACAAAAAAATTACTTCGGACAAACCTTAAGACTGCTCTGAACTGAAATGGCCGAACATACGGCAGCAGTGCGGAGAAATGATGCCAGCCCTCAGGTCTCCGCGGGCCATTCGACGAAACATGGCTACAAGTCGAAGTTCCATGAGGTTCAGATTCTCGCGAGGAGTGAAAATTACGTGAGCTGCTAGCTGTTTAAATCATGGTTCACTGCCGCCCGCCCCCGTCTATTAAAAAGTGCAATGACCTTCCCCATCCATATTGGGTGCTGAGAGTTCGCGTCTAGGTGGAGTAATTAGTACGCGGGGAGCGCTCAGGTGAACGCTGTTCCCAACGCCAAGGTCGGTGGGCCAGATGATCGAGCAGCCATCACACCAACATCCAAACATCACACCCTGTGCAACAGTTTCGGATAAAGGAGTGAGTCCTGAATTCTCATATTCACGCAATAGCATGGCGACTGCATTCTACACATACTGCACACGTATCTGCTATTTGCTAATAGAAGCGAAGTGGCGAGTTCCAGGAAGAAGTCGTAAAGAGGGAGACAGGATCGCTGGAACAGGAGTTTTATTAACCCGACGTTTCTGATTCCCACTCGAATCCATCACGAGAGAGTCAGGTAAGGGTAGTGGGTTGCCCAGGTGTTGTAATATCTATAGGATGCAGTTGCTAGGCCGCTACATGCCTATCACAGTTGGCAGCTCCCGAGCGCATCACAGCTGGACTGGCCAGGTGTTGAAATATGCAGTTGCCATGCCGTTACTACGCGTCAAGATTATCGGCTCCCACGCTTATCGCACGCTGCCGAGTGGCTGACTGCCGGATTTCGTCATCCGTTTGGACTCTTGGGTGATTTGACTATTGTCTCTGTTGATGGGTCCGAGCAGGAATGTGAAATGCCAGGCCAATAAAACCCTTGTTCGGCCGATCGTATCTCCTTCTTAAGGACTGCTTCCTGGGACTCGGTGCATCTGTTAGCAACTGAAGGTAGTCAGAAAATGCGGTGGTATGAATGGGCCAGTCAACACGGAGCATGACGTCATGTAGATCTTACAGAATACACCAAACAAGGCCCACTGAAGACAATGTAGTAGGTAGCTATGTGTACGATGCGGATTTGAAAACCAGAACTCGAATCCCTACCTCAATTCGCGAACTCCTGCCATGATACATGTCTAACTGATGTTAATCCTGCCCAAGAACAAACCCTAATTCCATGCGTGGAAGAATGCGTTGCAATTTTCAACCTGTGGGTTTCTAAACTGCGTTTGCCTATTTCTAATCGACGACACAGTTTACAGCAGACGACGGTGTGTGACGTACAACCGCAGAAAGCCCTCAACTCCATACATCCACCATCGGAAGCACCTATGGTTACATCAAGCTTGAGGGAAGAACTGGTCTAATTCGTAGCACCAGCCGCTGCGAGCCTGCAGCGAAGACCGTGCTGAGAGTGTGTCATCCTCTTGTCACTGGGTGGATGCCCCTATGCTACACACGCAACTCGAGTGCGACTCCAGTCTGCACGCACGAAACCCCACCCAGCCACCAACTCCCTCCCTCCGCACCAGATGAGTAGTTTTTACTGCCAAGCGATGCACCTAGGCTTGCGTGGGACTGCTCGTGGCTGGCATTTCGTTTGCGATCGATGCGCGTCTAACCCTAATCTAGTGAGAGCATCATTCGACATGACGTAATGGAGAACTGCAGGTTTGCAAGCAATTTACGCGTAACGTCGTGCCACGCGTGGAGGTAAATGCTGCGCAAGTCTGCCACCAGTATAATCTCAATCATTTTGTCATGACTGTCGTCCAGTCAGCACCGAATTGTCGGTCATTTTGACAAAGTCATTCATTGAGTCACCGAGATTGTCGTTTGTTGCGCTCTTAACGTTGGAGTCTTCAGGAAAGGTCAGTCACCGAGCCGAACTTTGAGCTCCAAACTAGTTAAATGTTTAAGTTTTCTGTAGTATTAAAGGTAGGGCAACAAATGCCGTCTGCTCTATGGCCTCACAGCAGCACTCCATACCATTTGTTTACGGATACCTCTGACTGGACGACTGTCGTCTGAAATCTCTGCTTATTAGAATTCCTGCAATCGTGTTAGTACTGGACAAACACTGGTCCCTAAAGATATCTCCTGAATGTTGGCTGCAATATACGCACTATCCTGTCAGAATGCCGTGTTTACAGGAACTTCTGATAGGTTTGGTTTTTTGAGGATAGGATTGGTCTCAGGACTAAGACTGACTGGTCTCCAGTGTAGGAGGTATAGTCGTGTTGGCCAAATGCCATACTTCACGTACACATGCCCTTTGAATATTTATTTGCGTACTTTACTCAAAGAACTGTCATTCAAGTTATTCTACCTGAGCCATTTTATTTGCTGGTTTGTCAACAGCCTTCAGTCGGAGTATAGATTCGAAAACAGTTTGCGGAGATTTCGCGGTATTTTTGACTTACTTGGGCTGATTGAGATGCGGTTCAACAGGAGAAACTAGATTTTGCTTGGCTTCGCCGATGGAGGCGTCTTAAGAACAAAAATTTACATAACGTCACATGCTGACAGGCCAATCGGTGATCGGCGTAATCTTAAACATATTACAGTACGTGACCTATCTCATGAAATCTGAAAATGGAAACTGATGAGAGAATTCCTGGACGCCTTTAACGTTGAGCATTTTGTTCGTTCTTCTACATCCTTCAACAAAATGTCCTTTTCTTGTGCAGAAATTGTGCTTACGTAATTATATCAAGTAAAATATCTGTAAATGTTAGCGAAAATGGACGTTGGATGATATTCGTGTAATTTCCTATACTAATACGTGTCTTAGACTCCGGTTACGCATCTGAGCGGCTTTTTCTTTGAAAGGATATTAATTTGCCCATGAGAGTTTTAATAAACAGGTTTAGCCGGACTATACACTATTTTAAATTCGATGATAGCCATGTTGATCCACCTGCTAACACAAAGGTTATTTTAAGAAAACCAGAGGTTTTATCAATTTCATCAACGGAGTGCAGTAATGAAGCACTTCTTAAAGAGGTAACTTACTACCGAAAGTTTTTTCATTGATCAAAGGCATATTCGTTGCTGACTTTCGTTGTGGACAGACATTTTTCCAGAAAATGAAGTTTTATGTTTGAATGAGTCTTCAAACGTGACCCAAACGACCATCTTCGTGAAAAGGAGCGCCCGAACACTCACTAATTCGCTAAATGCCTTCAAGAAAATTCTTATTTGTAAGTTCTCAACAGACAGGCAATTCAGAATCTGTCTTTATGGACGATCGGATGAAAACAGCGAAAATCACTATGTATTCAGCAACATTTCGAGGACGATTTGAAACTCAACGTTATCCAAAACGAAAGAGAAGTGTAAATTAATTTAACGGAAGAATATTTATCTCCATAAACTCAAAATGGCACGTTTACGATCACGCCTGTCAGTTCTATTTAAATTTATTAGGCACCGACCGGTCTCGTGGCATGTCACCTCATGAAAACTTTTGTTCCTACGACGTCCCCATCGGTGAAATCAAGCAAAATCCAGCTTCTCTTGTTGAACCCCATCTCATTTACTTTAAACAAATAAAATGAAGGAGGACTCACTGGAAAACTGTTTTGGAGTCTGCACTCAGAATGTAGGCAGTTGACACACCGTCATATATGAAATCACACTACTCATTAAACGATATTTAGATGTAAACTTCACTAAAACACTGTTATTAGACGTTGTTTTATGTCTACTTTCATATTTACTACGTTTTTGGTATGACAATACATTCTGTACATCTAAAAACGACGTTTACTAAATTAGAGCCATTTCTGACGTTTTCGGGATATTGCGCTTTTCAAAATAAATCGGAATTTCTAAATAATGCCACTCTGTCTTTAACAATTCTTTTGTGTTTTTAATGCTTTTAAAGTTG